TGCATGGTTGTATCGGAAAAAACGCAGCCATATTAATACTGCAAGAATATTAATATTGTTCGGGTTTACACCATAGTTCAGCTAAAATGACTTTTAGCATTTTAAATGAAGGATTAAGAGCCATTTTCAATTCCCAGAGGCAGAGGTGCTTATCTACAGAATTGAGCTTTTTTTTGAGACACCCTGTAGTGCATGGTTGTATCGGGAAAATACAACCACTTGTGTTTGCACCTGATTTGCATATCTATTCAAATCCTACTGATTACAAATTAATTTCACGTTTACATTTCAAGTTATTTACAACACTCGCGGCCGTGTTGTATTGAATATTATACAATCAATACAACACGTCCGCTTTTGTTGCAAAAATTACTTGTGTAATATTGCACTCATTTTCTCGTAAGTTTAGAAGATGTTTTTCTAAGTAAATGTAAATATAGCTGAGAGTTTTTATTAATGTTCAAATCGCGTCCCCATAAAAATAGGATTGATGAACATGCAAATCAGTTGCAAACACGAGTGGATGATTGTATCGGAAATTACAACCACAAATGTTGCAAACATTACTTATATAATACTGAATAAATCACCGTATTTAGAACATGTTTTTCTGAATGTAAATAGGGTGTAAATTTCACTGTCTATACTTCTGTGGTATACCTATATCAATATAATTATTATCGATAACCACCCCACTGAAAAAGTTATTTTACCAGAATAATTTCAAACTTTTCATGCTATCTTCGCCTGACATCATCAATTAATGCCTAATCCAGTCAGAAAACAAAATAAAATTCTCGCTACGAGTACTTACCCTAACAACCTGAGGGTCTGTAGGATCCAAACAACAGGTGCATACGGTACCAATTTGACTTAGACGAAACTCCACCAATTTAATAGACATCTTTTGGGCATAAAGACTATATTCGTTGATAAGACAACTTAAATTTTGTTTGTGTTTTTCATCGAGAGCTACATAGCCAGATGTGAACAATATTACCATATCCACATTTACTGCAATATGAAGAACAGCGAATTGGACGAAATAGACAACGCTCTCATAAGACATATCCATAAAATCTGGTTTTAAAGCTTCCAATATTTCATTTAGGGATAAACAACGTTCATTGTGCTCACTTTCCTCCTGCGTGACATTGATGTATTCATGACAAATATCCCTTGCTTCTTCCAGAGAACATCTTAGTTTTACAACTTTCTCATGATCAAGGCATTCCTGGATCGCTTGATTGACCCTTTTCGTTACAGTTTCAATGTAGTCATTATCTTTAGGCCACAATAAGCCATAAACTGCTGAAAAAAATGAACCAGCCTGAGGGATATCCGACACTAAGCTAGCCCCAATAGCCTCCAGCTTGCCATCTATATCGACCATAATTCGTTTTCAAAAGACACTGTGTGGGTTATCAGTACCGCGACAATGCAGTGCCATGAAAGATCAGTGAAAGATTAATATAATATTGTGTGTCTTGGCCTTCATAATTTCAGAATTAGGCGGAAATGGAATTATTCCATTTTTAGTAATGTTGTTCAAGCCACTTTTCATGTCCACAAATAAGCTAGCCTTTACCAGTTTAATTAAAGTCTTTTATTAGGAAATAAGGTATCTTTTAATTAAAGCGACTGGTATTGTAAAATAAGCCGCAGCATACAGGTATTATAGTTTTAAGAGGCGTCATTCGTTTTATAATTTTATATTCAGAAATAAATATTTTTCGCCTTTTTAGCCGTTTTAGTATTTTCGGTTTGGACGTTCAATGGATGGCTTTCAATTTAGCTTCAAAGATGGGAGCCCCAGCGGCTAGAGCAGCATTCCAACATTAGCAGAAACGCAATCTATGCGGCCAAGGGGGCAACGATATAATATATATATAATTATAGTTCAGGGGCCGGTTGTTCAAAAGGTGGATAAGTCGCTATCCAACGGATAAGTCGCTATCCAACAGATAAGTTTTATCCAGCGTGTGATTTGCGTTGCACGAAGCTTGGATAACTTTATCCAGCGGATAAAAATCGCTATCTACCGGATAAATTTATCCAAGGTCCGGAGGTGGTTTGAATCCACTATCCAGTGGATAAATTCAAAGATACAAGGTAACACTGTAAACATTTATATAAAATAGGACAAAAATGCCATATTCCTGTTACTGCATGTGTTTCAACAAACTATAATACACATCATGATTGTATTCACTATTAGAAATGTTTTCGAAGTGCAATTTGTCGCAGCAGCGTTTCACGTTGCCTACACATTCCGTTCCGAGCGGCGATTTTTTGAAGATCCTCGCATTTATAACAGGCGGTAAATTTACTATACGCTTCTAATCAGTTTATAAACGCAAATATGCAAAGAAAGATTGAACCTATTCCAAGGAAACTTGCTAATATCTAAGTAATTTCATTCACGAACATTAAAATAGTGTTCCTGAATTTGCTATGGAACCGAAAGGCAAAGCGTTGCAAGGTCAAGGAATAAAATTGCAATGTGTTTAATTAATAAAATCACTATGATGTGAAGTGCAAAGTTCGAGCAAATCACTTGTTCAAGTCTTTTCCATTCAATAACTATACTCGAGAATTCGTAATGATTATGAATTCAATGTTGTAAATGCTTAGCAACAGCTGACGTTGTGGTACGAAATTTCAGGATAATCCTGTTTTCTTCCGGTAAATTTAAACTTATCTTTTGGATAGCTATCCACTTCACTATCCACGCTTCGTGCAACGCGTTTTCATCCAATGGGTAACTATCCACTGGATAGCAGATTTATCCGTTGGATAGGACTTATCCGTTGGATAAGTTATCCATCTTTCGAACAACCGGCCCTAGATGATTTAAGTATTGAGATTGGTGTATCATATTTCATGAAGGTGTTCAACGTAAACAGAGCCTAGTACCATACGCGAAGGGGGGGAAGCAGTATACAATGTAAAATATACAGCAGGTGGCAAGTGTGATCAATGGATGACTTGCGCTTTAGACTAATTTCTTACCTCGGCGATAAAAAGGACATTTTCTGAAAGAGCTTACTAAAATTAGTAAAACTGCCAAGTTTGGCTGCGAATTGTTGTAAATTATGGAAAACATAGCCATACGAAGTTCACGAATTTTGTATACTTTTGTATTACGGCCGGAAGTTTGTAACTAATTTAGTTAAACATTTCCGCACGTAATACAAAAGTATACAAAATTTGCCAGCTTCGCATGGCTATATTTTCCATATTTTGAAAAATTTCGCAGCTAAACTTTGCATTTACACCAATTTAAGTATAAGATCTCTGTAGCTGTGATGATTTATTTCTTTTAGTTACTGTACTTCGATCAAAAATTAGTTTAAAGCGCAAGTCGTGCATTCAAATGAATGATAATTATAACACAGAATACTGTATGAAGTATTCTGAACGTAACACCGAACAAGTTACAAATTTGTAGTAAAATAATAATGCTGTATACCGGTTGATTGGTATGGAGAATGTGAAAAAAAAGTTTAGTGGAGAATGACAATAATTTTTAAGGCCTAGCCGAAATTTCTGCATGCCTGTGTTGTCTAATAATTTCCTGTCTGCATTATTATTTGTTCTTAAGAAGAACTTGTAAGAAACCCGAAACAAAGGCTTGCTTATTATTAAACATACATCCGACAGTTTTCAAAAGAGTCCGCGTTTTTAAACGCAATTAAGCCTCGGTCGACAGAAATTTCTAGCACAAATAGACACGAAAAAATTCTTCTTTGATTCATAATAGCTTCTAAACTAGCTAAGCTATTAAACTGAAATAACTTTCGCTAGATAGAGGGAAAACTAACTTAGATTTTGATATATTACAGTTGTATTTTACTTAAAAATTTACGAAGATATCAATGTTCAAAATTGGTAGCATATTTCTGGATGTGTCTAAATTATGCAAAAAACGCCGTATCAATTATTAATCAAGCTTTTCTCAACTGAAACATGCACTATTAGCAGTAAATAAATGACAATTGACAAATTGTTTATTATGAAACGAAGTATCATTATTTAATGAGGAAAATAATACAGCATTTTTGCAATTGCACATATAACAGTATCAGCGCTATTGTTTTCATTACGTTTTGTTCGAAAAATGTCCCTGGGGAGTTGCATGTTGTGCCCTATGGAATTATGGTTTGAATGTGTTTTATTTTGAGTTTATCCTGAATATGCCAAGATTAAGTAAAGATCAAAGAGTATGGGTGTGTTTACTTACTGCTAATTGTGCATGCATGCATGTTTCAGTTGAGAAAAGCTTGATTAATATTTGATACGGCGTTTTTTGCATAATTTAGATACATCCAGAAATATGCTACCAATTTTGAACATTGATATCTCCGTAAATTTGTAAGTAAAATACAACTGTAATATATCAAAATCTAAGTTAGTCTTCCCTCTATCTAGCGAAAGCTATTTAAGTTTGATAACTTAGCTAGTTTAGAAGCTATTATGAATCAAACCGGAGTATTTTTTTCTGGGACACCCGGTATATATATATATATATATATATATATATATATATATATATATATATATATATATATATTATATATATATATATATATATGTATATTATAAAATATATATATATATATATATATACACATTTATATATTTGTTTATTTTAATACTGTTCAGACAGCTGCGCCGGTGTCCCGTGTAAAGTAAAATGTTCAATAAAAACGACAGAAAGTTCAGAGGTGGCTGGTGCCTACAAATGTCGCTAAAAAGTCAATTATGATAATTTTGTTGTTAGAAACTGTCACTATGAAGAGAATATCAACGACAGAAACAGAAAAAACAAGTCATTCACTCCACACATTTCAAAGGGCACGTTGTATATAAATAGTATAATTATATCATTGCATCGTGCAGAGAGCGCAGTGAAGTGGAAAGCCGCAGGAGGGACAGCAGCAGATTATCCATATTATCGAACCTTCCTCGAAATGCTAACTTTTGTTGCCATTTTATCGATGCCTTTGTCATTACTAAAAGCTCAACCTTGTGCTTTAAGACATTTCAAAAACGTCAGCGTTGGTAAGTCAGTAATTTTACACTTTTGTGATCGTTTGGATCCCTGTTATCGATGGTAACTTTTTCATCGAGTTAACCCCCATGCAACTTCTAAATCTCGTGAGCTGATAGTTGTAAAAATTAAATGAACCCCAACTCAATTGTTTCCCATACTGATAGTTAGATTAAGGTGGCTCGATACAGTTTTCAAAAATTTCACTGTTCATCAGTTTGACACGTTCAAACAATGCATTTTTATAATTTATCCAGAAATATTGGGTTTTTTATATATTTTGATGTTTCCACTTTTGAATCGTATTAGTTTTAGTAACAGATCGTCCGTTGCTATGGCGACATACGTGTAAAAATATCACTCCAAAATGACCAATTGCCTCGGATAGTTGGAAAAAAAGCACGGTGACCCCCAATTTTTTTTCGTGCAGTATTTTACTTGGAAGAAAAACTAACAATTAGCGAAATATACAAAAAATCTATAATGCCACATTTTTGAAAACTGCAAAAATGACATCTTTTTCGATAATTTGTTTTTGTTATTATAGAATTTTTTATATTTTGCTAATTGTTAGTTTTTTCCTTCAAGTAAAATAATGTACGAAAAAAAATTGGGGGTCACCGTGCTTGTTGTCCAACTATTCGAGGCAATTGGTCATTTTGAAGTGTTGTAAACGTATGTCGCCATAGCAATGTACGATTTGTTACTAAAACTAATACGATTCAAAAGTAGAAACATCTAAATATATGAAAACCCCAATATCTCTAGAGTAACGTGTCAAAATGATGAACGTGTCAACATGATGAGCGATGGAATTTTTGAAAACTGTATCGAGCCACCTTCAAATCACTTTTATTTGGGTTATCATGCAGCCGATATCAGAATGCTTTGCCGGAGTAAAAATTATTGCAACCAAAAATTTAATGTACGTTTAGCTAAAATGCATCATTACTCAGTAAGGAAGCTGGGGAATTAATAGTGACTAAAAAAATTCATATTTGATTTTAAATTATATTTTCGCCTTTTTTGTACACAAGTATATATATATAGCTTAGAGTTACATAAATCAACTGTAACTTCATTAATTTTGCATTTAGTTGTTAATCTGCGAAAGACATGTTCTTCATGCATGAATTCTTGAACGATGTTGCCTATAAATAGCCTAAATTGCTTAATGAATAGGTCACGTTTAGAAATTTCATATAGGCTACACAGTTCCCATGCAGTCAATTTTGACGTGATGAAATTAGCCGTTACAGCGTTGCAATTAGAGTTCTCGTTAATTATAAATCAATGCAGGAAATGAAGCCTTCCGTCCATCTGAGTTGATTTCAAGTCACAATATCCACCGCTTGGGAGAGTGTCATTTACTGTGCATTGCGAAAGAAAATTGTTATGGTTACAACTACAGAGTGAGACGAAGCAGTGTTTATTCTGTAAACTGTCAACTTAGCAAAAGCACTAAGAAGTGGAATAAAACAACGACTAAATATGGACCATGGGTTTACTACCAGGATGTTAAGGTGAAGTATGCGAACTGCGAAGTAACCAATAATTATTGAAATAAAACATCGAGTAAATATTCGAAAACGTTGTTTTCATATAAAATGTGAATGCATTGATAGGCGATTTTTCGTCAGGGACATATTCGGATATTTTATGCCTATTTGCTTTTAAGAATTTTTTTCTTCACGGATCTCCCCCCTCCAATGCCTTTGAAGCCGACATAGCTAAGGCCCAAAAAATTTTGCTTGGTCTTATGCGATTAAATATTGCTACTAAAAATAATATTTAGTGAGCAAATATTTACTTTCCCGTAATGGACCGGCATTTTCCCGTAATGGACCGACGTTACCGGCGATCCATTACGAGATGAAAAACAGAGAAATTCTGAATGAAAAAGGCACAAATAAATGCTAAAGGGAAAATTTAATTGATTTTGAAATAAATAAGACGTCTCCAGACAGTTTAGGTAAACTAGATGATTCAATATTTTGTTTTTGTTTTTATCAAATGCGTGCCAGGCTATTAATACGAATTCATGCATTTCTTGTTTGTTTCAAGTGCAAATACATGCCTTAGGCCATATAATAAACTTCTTATTAACCTCGCTTGCTCGGTCTTAACCAAGAAATATCGGATTATTCGGTTATTACTTTGCCATAAATTATAATGTCGTAAATTTACAACTTACCATTTTTTCAACCCGTCCTCAATTTTAATTTTAAACGTCTCTATTCTTTTACTTTAGGTGACAGAAGGTAAGAATTGCAGAAATTTTATTACAAATGATTTGCCAATTGTAGTAAATAAAGTCCCTGATACTGAAAATAACGTAACCTCCCCCCTATCCCAAAATTTTAACACTGTATCCTACGACCTTAACATTTCAATCAATATGGTTAAAATTACCGCAAAAACAGAAACCAATCTCAAAGCGACAACAACACTTGCTTCATCACTAATAGGCGCTTAGAGGATACCTAGCTTCACTCGTCTAATCAGCTTTTAGTATTTCTATGCAATATACCTCATATGATCACTGGACATCACCCTAAAAAAATTTGCCTTGAAATACGCCGACGAGAACAAGATCTTAATAAGGCTTCCAAAGCACTGATCATATTTCTTTTCTGATCTTACCCATCATGTTATCACGCCTCTAACTGCAATGAAACACGCAATTTGATTGGTTAGTGGGCGTGCAGGATGAGACAATCCCGCGCGGAAAAGTTTACAATGACGTTTCACGCGGAATTTTTAAAATGTCGAACTATTTTACGCGTGAAGTTTTAAGCGATAGACAAGTTAAAAAAAACATGGAACAACAGTTCGCCCTAACTACAGAAACTCTGTCTAGCTTGTTTAGAATTCCAAACTTCCGCTAACTAATTAAAAAAATGACTATTGTTTCGTTATAGTTATTTTAAAAAGTAGAAAATTAAAACGGAGTAATCATGAATGAATTCTTGATTAGGTGTTTTAGTCTTAAGTTAATCTGTATAAAAACGGTCAACTCGGGAAAATGTACTGAGATACAAAAAATCGGAGTTTTTTGATCATCTAAACGTGAATGATCTTTGACGTTTCATCATTTGTGAGAGAAGTGGCAACATTATCGCCATTTTCATGAGAAAGACTTACTACCTTACAAGCTGCGAGCGTTTACCCTACAGTCAAAGAGCAATACGCGTAAAATATTTTCGCCAATATCTAATTTGATAAATTGTGCAAATATTGTGTATTTTTTGAAAAACGGTTACACGCATTCCACTATGGTTATATTAAGTGATCCAAGCTAATAGGATAAAAAAGATATGTGCATGGACGTAAAAAAGTAATATTTTTGTTCAAATAACTAAGAGTCAAGCAACAAGATCTACTACTGACCGAATAAAACAAGACGTTTTTGCAATCAAAAGATTTCTAAAAATCTTAGATTGTTAAATCAGCAACAGGGCTAGAAACAAGGGAAGAACCCTTTGAAAAATACCAGAAAGGTTCAAGAATTTTTGAAGATTTTGGTCAATGACAAGCAGCGATATTTCGGATTTTTTGTAAACAGTTGTAAAACAAAAGTTGTGATTGATATATTTTCCCCATCAATTATGGTGCATATTTTATACATTATGTGCATTGTTAGAATTATGCGAGTTCGATTGCAAATGTAAAGTACATCAATATACATTAATTCTCTATTAATTTCCAGCAATAAAAATGTTCCACGCCAACTTTACAAGTCTTGGAGCAACTGGTCGTCTTGGTCCTTCTTCCCTGGGCTCCTACTATGTGGGGAAAGATAATGACAACATGGTGACTCTCAAGAATGGGATACAGTTCTGGACAGTTTCCTACACTGGAACATACGAGATCACCGCAGTTGGTGCAGCCGGAGGATATGATAAATACGGCTCAACTGCTCGAGGTCGTGGCGCTTATATGAGGGGTGAATTTACCTTTCAGAAAGGAGATGTAATTAAAATATTGGTTGGACAGACAGCTCCAGTAAATTCTGCAAGTCAGTCGTCAGGGGGAGGTGGCGGATCATTTGTTGCGACATCGTCTAACACACCGCTTATTGTTGCTGGGGGCGGGGGTGGTGTTGAAAGGCTGAGTAATAGACTGGCAAACTGCGATGCAAATACCAGAACATCTGGAAGAAGAAATCAATGTAAATTCTCGTGTGCCATTTGGTCTGGGGGGAAGAATGGGAGTGGCGCCTCACAAGCAGACAGCAGTAACTCAGGTAAACTCGTATAGACCGAAAATTCGAAGAAGTTTTTGATATTTGCGCAATTGCTTAACCATGCAGGTTAATTCTAGTGACAGATCATTACTATCACCATTGGCAGAAAGAACAGTATTTGACGCGATCACCAAAAAAAGTTGTATATTAAGCGCAAGCTGTTGAAAACGACGCATACCCTCTGCAGGCATGATTAATTCATGATTCTGACAGCTTCTTTGGAGAGGGCCCTATCGCGATACGGATATTCTATCAGCATCATAACTTATTTGACCAAATGATGATTGACTGAATACTTTTACGTTTACTTCCTATACAGACACCAATTTTTTCACTAACGATGAGTGCGTGCGTTCGACTAGAAGACGTCTGTCGAGTTTTGATTCATCTTGTGCAGGTTTAGACAAAACGAGAATAATTTCGAATAGCAAATTTCATTTTTTAATTGAATTTTCGCACATCTGTACCCATGGCTACCACATAGGAATTTCTTGATTTTTGTAACTTGAAAGATTTAAAAACATAATGTTTGTTTTTAAAGGTGGTGGTGGTGGCGGATTCTATAGCAATGGACGGAGCAGTTTTCAGTTTGGCGGTTCCTATGGTCACGGTGGGGAAGGAGGGAGAGGTTTTATTCAGGGGGGAGCAGGAGGACGTGCTCGCACTAATAATGCTGTCGGTGGATTTGGAGGAGGTGGAGGGGCGTATGGAGCCGGAGGAGGCGCAGGAGGTGGCGGGGGATATTCTGGTGGAGCATCTGGAAATAATTTTTATTACTCGTGTGGTGGAGGTGGAGGTTCCTACAACGCTGGGAGAAAACAAAGAAACGTGGAGGCCATGAGTGAGAAGGGAAATGGTTATGTCGAAATAAAACGTGTCGTCTAAAACAGTATCGTTTTGTAACTTGCTATGTTTAGTGATCTTTGTTGTGGTTTGGTTGTTGGGAAACAAGACTTATATGGATATAAGCAACAATTGTGGGAATAATAAATTAGCCTAAGAAATTAGGTACATACATGTGTAACTTTACTTTGTTTTATAAATAAAAATGATTTTCTTTCCTTTTCTTTCACCATAAATTGAATGCAATCATTTTCAAGCCGAAGAACAATTCTGAGTGACTGTATTTTGGGGATTTTATCTACTCGGAAAGTTGACATTCAGCATTTTGTTGTTTCTATTATGCACGAGCTGTTCTTCACTACTCTGACTGGTCGGTTGTCTAAAATGCTATACTGAGAGCCACGCACAAGGCAGTCGACAGGACTGACTCATAAATAAGATCGCATTGCAATAAACTGTGTAGTGCCATTTTTTACCTAATATAAAGAATTTATAGAATTGCAAAAACATACAAGGGGAATTCTTGTTCAAAAACAAAATTGAAAAATGTATGCAGGAAATTGAAAATTTTAGTGAGAAGCAAAGTCCGGAAATTTCAAAGGAAAACGACAATTAGGTTGTGTGGAACTCACTGATTGCTAATCAGGGCAAACAGGACATATATACCTTTTAAGGATTGCTGCCGGGAAATTAAAAGATTTAGTCTTCATAGCCTGTTCAATGACAATGGCTTGACTAGATAAAATTTTTTACTTTTAATTTTTTGTGTGTGGTTGTGTTTGATTACAGCTCATGAAACTCTGAGTCATTATGTGGAATGAAATGTCGCTAATTATTGTTAATGAAATAAATCTCTGCCACCCGGACGCTTCCTTTCGCTGTGACTAACAAATCGATGTACATACGATCAATATTTGCTTTTGCAATTTATGTTTTGATTCTTTTTTGTTGATCGCGTCCCGTAGCGACAGCGATCTATAGTTTCGGCTTGGTTTTTTTTATTTTCCTCTCGGGTCGACCCCCAGAGTCGTTAGCTGCAGGCCATATCACCCTAATCGGGAACCTACGCACAGGTAAGTTGCTAGTTATATCACGTGTTGTATTCACTTTGGGCATATTTCGTTTCACCTTCAAAGCAGTAAAGTAGAATCAATAAAGCGATAAAAATGCTAGCAAGTGCTATCTTTATCTTTATACTCATTACACATACAACTGCACACGCCGAGCAGAGTAAGCCTGCACTAAAGGATTTCAAGCAGTTTCGAAATGGGCTGTTGTGTGTTTTTCCTGCTTTCAACATGCGACTCTAGTTCGGTATATTGTTCATTTTTATCATTAAGAACATTTAAGACACAAAATTTGCATAGCTGGGCTGGCTACGCCGCTGTGAACGACGCGATCATAACGCCCAGTAGGCGTCTTGTTCACAATAAAATCGACTTCGAGAGTGAACTCAATCCCGTGACCCAGACTTGTTTATATCATTGTGAAAACATGAATAATTAATAGCCAACCAAAGTTCGTAAATTAGGTCCCCATAAAAATAGGATTGATGAATATGCAGGGGCCGGTTGTATAAAAACGTCGTTAACTTTAACTGCGATTAGCGCTAATCACTGTAGTTAAATCCTTAACTATGATTAGTTAACTACACGACTTAACTGCGTTGCACAAAACGTAGTTAGTGGGATGATTAACTAATCACGTAGTTAACTTGCGTGGAGCTAATGAAAGTGATAATTTATTCACTTGCGTGGAGCTTGCGTGGGGTTGTTAAACAGAGAAATAACATGAAGTATTCAAAAATTATTGACCGCTATTATTGATTTTAAACAAGACTGTGGACTCGTGTTTACAAAAATTGACAGTATTTTGATCTAAAATATTGGAAAAAAATGAATAAAACAAGGAAAAAATTCAAAATAATTCAACGAAAATGGCGCTCTTAATATAAAAAGGTCCCTTTGAGTCAAAATACTGGTTGCAATTGAAAATGGAGATGGCTAATCTTTGCTAGGATCGCAATTTGGCATCGACACGTCTCCCGAAGCAAAAATATACTCCGTTGCTGCCCAAATGAAAAAAAATAAAAGCATATTGAAAGTTTACAAGCTTCGACGGGGCCTTTTCTGGGTGTATAACGGTTGACAATCTTGGTATGTGTTGATTTTAATGTTTTCTCACTTCTCGAAAGCTCAAGACGCCATTTTTAACTACGATTTGGAAAGTTAACGATGCCCTTGAGGATAGTTAACTTTAACTACTTTTTAACTGCAGTTAAGGCTAACTACACTTTTATACAACCGGCTTAACTACGTGATTAAAGTTAACTACTTTTTAACTACTTTTTAACTGCAGTTAGCGCTAACTATACGTTTTTATACAACCGGCCCCTGATCAGTTGCAAACAACACTCGCGGCCGTGTTGTATTGAATATTATACAATCAATAATACAACAAGGCCGCTCGTGTTGCAAACATTACTTATATAATACTGAATAAATCGCCGTATTTAGAACATGTTTTCTGAATTTAAATAGGGTTTCTTTAATGTTCAAATCACATTTAATGCATTTCCACCGCGAAATATTTCACTGTCTATACTTCTGGTATACCTATATCAATATATTATCGATCACTACCCCAAAACGTTTCATTATTTTTACCAGAGAATAATTTTAAATTTTTCATGCTATCTTCGCCTGACCTCATCCATCAATGCTTTTTTGAAATTGTTATATTGCCGCCTAATCCAGTCAGAAAACTAATATAAAATTCCCGCTACGACTACTTACCCTAACAACCCGAGGGTCTGTAGGATCCAAACAACAGGTGCATACGGTACCAATTTGACTTAGACGAAACTCCACCAATTTAATGGACATCTTTTGGGCATAAAGACTATATTCGTTGATAAGACAACTTAAATTTTGTTTGTGTTTTTCATCGAGAGCTACATGGCCAGATGTGAACAATATTACCATATCCACATTTACTGCAATATGAAGAACAGCGAATTGGACAAAATAGACAACGCTTTCATAAGACATATCCATAAAATCTGGTTTTAAAGTTTCCAATATTTCATGTAGGGATAAACAACGTTCATTGCGCTCACTTTCCTCCTGCGTGAGATTGATGTATTCATGACAAATATCTCTTGCTTCTTCCAGAGAACATCTTAGTTTTACGACTTTCTCGTGATCAAGGCATTTCGTTACAGTTTCAATGTAGTCATTATCTTTAGGCCACAATAAGTCATAAACCGCAGAAAAAAATGAACCAACCTGAGGGATATCCGACACTAAGCTAGCCCCAAGAGCCTCCAGCTTGCCATCTATATCGACCATAATTTGTTTTCAAAAGACACTGGTTGGGTTATCAGTACCACGACAACGCAATGTGTGAAAGATCGGTGAAAGATTAATATCATATTGTGTGTCCTGAGCTTCATAATTTCAGAATTAGGCGGAAATAGAATTATTCCATTTTTAGTAATGTTGTTCAACAAATGTTCAAGCCACTTTTCATTTCCACAAGTAAGCCTTTACCAGTTTAATTAAAGTCTTATATTAGGAAATAAGGTATCTTTTAATCAAAGCGACGGGTATTATAAAATTCGCCGCCGCAAACATGCAGGTATTATAGTTTTAAGAGGCCACATTCGTTTTATAGTTGTATATTCAGAAATTATAGTCCTGACAATATTTTTCGCGAGAAATGGCAGTTCAATTTTGAAACTTTAATTTTATGAATTTTGAGGTTCTATTTACCAGCGTGAGTCGTTTATTCATTATTCGTTGGGAGCTAAGTTAGTACGACATACTCATTATGACATAGTAACATGCAGACTTTCCTGACGAAGACTCTTAATTCCAGTTAGAAAAAACACGCCTTTTTAGCCGTTTATTTTCGGCTTTGGACGTTCAATGGATGGCTTTCAATTTAGCTTTTAAATTTAGAAACGCAATCTATGCGGCCAAGGAGGCAACGATATAATATATATAATTCAGATGACTTAAGTATTGAGATTGCTGGTGATCATATTTTATGTAGGAGTTGAAAACGTAAACAAAGCCTAGTACCACACGCGAAGGTGGAAAGCAGGATACAATGTAAAATACACGGCAGGCGGGAAGTGTGATCAATTCAAATGAATGATAATTATAACAAAGAATACTATATCAGATATTATGAACGTCATACCGATCAAGTTACAAACTTGTAGTAAAATAATAATGCTGTATAACGGTTGATCGGTATGGAGAACGTGAAAAAAAAAGTTTAGTGGAGGATGAAAATATTTTTTTAAGGCCTAGCCGAAATTTCTGTAAGTCTGTGTTGTCTAATAATTTCCTGTACTGCATTATTATTTGTTCTTAAGAGGAACTTGTATGAAACCCGAAACAAAACTTGCTTATTATTAAACAGGCATCCGACTGTTTTCAAAAGAGTCCGAATTTTTAAACGCAATTAAGCCTCGGTTGACAGAAATTTCTGGCACAAATACACACGAAAAATTTTCATACTCAAAAGTCGCGCGAAATTTATTAAAACATGCAGGGACAAAAATTGAACGCTTTGTGCAAGATGAGATCAACGCAAGTTTCCCATCAATAACATGAGTATATATAATGGGGCCGGCGTTTGAAAGACTAATTAGAGACATTTAGCTTCGCGTTTTCGGCGCAGAACGGCAAACCGCAATCTGCGGTTTGAGGTCTGCGGTTTGCAGTCCGAGGTAAACGCATTTTGACATTTAGCTACTCGTCTCGGTTTGTCATGTAAACAACCATTTCAACATGGCGGCTTGTCGGTTTGTCATGTAATCTCTATGGCGTTGACAAGGTAGGTTTTTATTAACTGTATTTTTATTATTTTCATTCAAATTTGGATGACAAAAAGCAAAACAAGCATTTTTTTGTTTTCTTTCGTATCAGAAAAGACTACACGGAATTATAAATTTCAATGTTATTTGAACGTGATTCTGAAAGCAGCGATGAAGATGATCTTGACATAGCACTAAATGAACACATGTTTAC